GTTTTCGGATTTAATTTCCGTTTCTTTTCCATTGTAATTGTTTTATATATATATATATATATATATATATATATATATATATATTCCCCCTTACCCCATACTGTGTACTTTTAACTGAAATGTAGGCTTCATGCCTGCATACAATACAATGCACCTAATGAGACAAGCGGAACGTGGACGGGACAGCACCTTATTGACTGGGGGCTGTCCATCTTGGGCCGGTGGTAGCTGTCCAATGAAGTGCGAAGACTTCTCCCACCGTCGAGAGGAAGCTCCAGGTACCCCTCTACTACGTCTATCTGGCGAGTATTTTGACTGGTAAACTGCCCCTCACCGTGTTTATTTGCTGGAATGACCTCTCCAGGGGCTGGTGTGGCTTGATGAAGGACGCCAGGGGATGCCCATGCAGCTGGCTTTTTGAGACAGCTTCGTCTGGCCTCTGCCCGTTGACCTTTCAGGCATTATTGGATCTCCGGCTGTGAAAAGCCATCCTGTGTAACTCGCAGGGACACGGAGGCACGCAAACCATCACACCACGTCAAGGTGCAGTCTCGTCGTAATTGTTTCTAGTACAGAACAATTATCAGCGCGTAGAGGAGATTGCACGATTCGAATAGGGCATGAGAGGATAGCAGATTCATGGATATAGTTGTGGTTGCAATTGCGCGCTTTTGTTCGGGTTGTTTGATTTTTTTTACCATTCTCCCTTGTTTCTTGTTATCCAGTCCCAATGTGGCTCTAACTGAAGCTGAAGCGTTGACCACACTGGAAAGTTCTGTGGAGCCTAGTTCTAGTCTGGATCATCGTCTAAAGGTAGGTGAAACTACGTTACAGTTTTCCTTTTTCTTAATATCTTCTCTCATGGGCATTGTCTCCACATATATACGTGTTCTTATGTCAGTATTTGCGATCAGTTTAGCCAGCGGTGATCACTACTGAATGAACGATTATTTTTCAAATTACGGTGGTTGGCTACGAAAAAAAATTGACAATCGCGTTTCCGTCATGTGAGCGTCTTTGTTCAGCTGATTGTGTTCGGTTCTGTATAGCTATCTCTTTTCGAATAAAAACACAAGTTAATATCGGATGAACTAAAATCCAATTTATCCTCGGTTTTCATGTCAATTCGTCGTAAACCGGACCAGTCAAATCTTTTTTTAAATGTGATTATACCTCCTCCTTGTTGCGATTATTGACGTTTTCAAGCTGCTTTTAGGTCATTACTCGGGACAACACATTAGTGTCGTGTCCCACCAGTGGACTGTGTTACAATCAGTGGACGGTTCTGTCAATTGTCCAGGCATTACGATGACCCACAAATCAAGTCGATTTTCTCAAATTTATTCCCATCCGACCAATCGTGCCTTAATGTCCGTCTGTGTTGATCTGTCGTTCAATAAAAGAAGAGTTTATGTCATCCACCGCAAAATGTGTTTTATTGTTGCTGACTTTTTGATTAGTATTTACCTTGTGATTCATTTGGGACGTTTTGTTTCCGGTTCGTGATTTTATCAATTGTATGTGATCTCGATTTGTGATTTGTTCGACTAGACTGGAATAAGAGATATGGTTAACCAAGTACATTAGATTGTGTCCGTTCAGATGGATTGTTTTTAAACAGTTTCCTTAATCGTTTGGACTCGTTATCATTTGTCCCGGGTCACTTCAGTCCAAGCAAATTTTCGCCACGCCGCTACCATGTCGGACATGTTTCCTTGTCTGTCCTTGTAGTCCATGTTCATTTTTGTTTGCCGACGTAATAAATGGTAGCGGTGACCAACCTGACTTTTCTGTATTCAGTCTGGAATTAAGAATACAGACTTCTGTTTCTCAACCTGGACACCAGAGGCACATTTCAACTGCACATCAAGTGACTATTGACAAACGTACACAATCGTATCCGCAAATTTCAACTATCTGCCGGAGTTGGTTTTTCATCTCCTCCTCCGGCTGTCTTCTAAACTTGTGAGCTTGTAGTACGCGTTTGCCCTTTGTTGTGTTGTTTGTAATAGCCGTTCATTCGCAATTTCAAATTGCCATCCAACTTCTAACATGCTAACGTGTGTGTGTTTGTGTACATTTGTTCTTGCACAGATCAGTGCTAGTCTGTTTGACATTTTGAGCGGTCGAACAAATGTGGATCATCCGTTGTGTCAAGAATGTGCAGATGTCCTGTTGGCGGCTAAACAACAGAGCCTTGAATATCAGGAAGAAGAGTTAAACTGTTTACGGTACGTTCATTTTATCTGTGCCTTTCTCCGAATAGTTTTTGACAAAACGTGGTCCTTGATATTATTTTTTATAAACTGGGTTTACTGTGACCTGAGAGGATCTGGTTGTAAGAGATCCGTAGCCCCTTCTTTTCAGTCTGCTTGACTTGGTATAATTTCATCTACAGGGTTTGAATGTAGGTTCAAAGCACTTATCGTAAATTGAAATTGAAAGATTTATTATGGGAATAACTTACAAGCTCATGCTTTTCTGGTCCCATAGGTTCGTGCGGTGGATTAAGAAACAGTGATACATACAATTCTTTTTGTAAAATGTCACGTGATACGTGCGTTTTCCACTGCTTCACGCAGCTTCACTTATGTTAGAACGTAAGATGTGCTAGTGTTTCATCAAGCCTCAGTTTGAAAGACTCAATGCTTGGAGCACAGACGACGTAGGATGGTAGAGAGTTCCAG